CCACCTGCTTTGTCTCCTTACCTCATGGTGGTGGCAACTGCCAGCCAGGTGGAAGGGGGTCTGGCACGCCCAGCTGGTATGAGAGGTGCAGCACCTGCCAGGGCCCAAAGAGCACCAGGTTCGATCCTTAGCCCATGCCTGCAGCACTGAGTAGGCATGCAAACTGGCGGCAATCACCAGCCCAAAGGCAGAGGCTTGGGTAGTATGGTTTTACTGGTGGCCGCTGGCGAAGGGCCCTGGCAGACCAGCGGGAGGAGCACTCCGACAGTCACATAGAAGATCTGGGCCGACTTGCCCTGTGCCAGACAGGAGCAGCCCAAGGCAGCCCAGAGCAGTACTGCCAGGAGGGCAAAGAGCCCTGTAAAGTCAGCAGCACGGGCAGCCACTTGGCAGCCACACGGCACCCGACATGGCAGAGAAATGTCCCAGCAGCAGTAGAGCCAGCAGGCAGGGCAGGCAGAGGCCGGGGCTCATCAAGGGTTTGGTTTGTTGTGACCACAAGGAAGCAGATGGTGCGACAGAGGGGGCGGGGCCAGCAGTAGCTGGTTCCACCAGTGGCCACTGGCAAAGGGTCCTGGCAGGCTGGCAGCAGGGGGGCACGCCGGCGGCTGCATGGAAGATCTGGGCCGACTCGCCCCACCCCACACTAGGGCTTACTTTCGGGGGAGGGCTTGTATTAGGCCCATCCCCGAAAATCAGCTGAGGCTTACTTTTTAAGTAGGGTTTACTTTCGGGAAAACACAGTAAGTGTGAAAAATAGTTATGTCACTTTTTCAGTGTTGTTGCAACTTTGAATGGTCATTAAATGAACTGTTGTAAATCAAGGACCACCTGTTTTGATATAACATGCTTAATCTAGTTGCTGACAACCAGGAATCACATAATATATTGAATCATATATTTATTGAGCTAGATGCATACGATTTATTGTATCATAGCAAGAAATTGATTGACTGATTATGTGCAACAAGCCATTTCCCGCTCCCAGTAATCACATATTATAGATTTCTTCCAAATCTAATTTTCAAAGTATTCCAGTTGTAAAACTCATCACCACTACAGTTGGTTCCATACACTTTGCTGCTCGTTGTTCTCTTTCCTTCTACCTTTCCCAACACTAGAGCCTTCTCTAGGAAACTAAGTCTTTGTATACGTCTGAAGCAGGATAATTTGGCCCTGGCCATTTGTGCCTCAAGTGAGAACTCTGGATTGAATTGTTCAATGAATGGGTTGGGTTTTTTTTTTTTGTTTTGTTTTGTTTTGTTTTTTGCCTGCCCAAGACTTCTTCAAAAACAATATTCTAAAACATCAATACTTTTCCTACCCTGCTTCTTTAAAATCCAATTTTCATTTTCATAAAGCATCACACGGGAATCCCATGCCCTACATGATTTTGATCTTTATAATGTAGACATCTCACAACATTTGAGCATTTTTTCCAAGATGTTCATAACTGCTCTACCAAGTGATAGTCTTTGGCTTATTTCTTGACTGCTTGTTTCTTTCCTGTTTATGGTTGATCATAAAAGACAGAAACTGAGCACCACTTTGATAACTTCACTGCCAATTCTGAGGCTGGTTGTTCTCTTTTTCATTTGTTTGGTCTTCTTTATATTTAATTGCAGTGCCATTTTTTTCACTCTGCTCGTTGACTTTTATTAGTAGACCTTGCAGTTCCTTTGCATTTTCCACTATCAGGATACTATGATTAGCATAGTGCAGGATATTGATGCTTCTTCCTCCAATTTTAAAATCACTGACATTTTCCTAATCCAGTTTATCTTAGTATATATTCAGCATATAGTTTGAATAAATAAGGGGAGAGCATATAGCCATGATGCATTCCTTTACAAACCTGGAATTACTCTTTTTCACTATGTTCATATTGTGGCTTCCTGACATGTATATAAGTTTGTCATGAAAACAATCAGATGTTCTGGGATTCCCATTTTTCTGAACATATTCCACAATATGCTGGATGTGATTGACATAGTCAAAGGCTTTTCTGTAATCAATGAAGCACATAATTTTGGATATTTTGGGGGGCTTTCTTAATTATCAAATATGCATCTTCTATGTATATGTTCCTTTGCCTTTTCTAAAGCCAGCTTAAACATCTGACATCTCTTTTTCCATGTAGGATTCAAAACTGTGTAGGATGGGCTAAGCATTATTTTAATAGCATGTAAAATTAAGGATATTTTATGATAATTTGGACAATATGTTAAGCCTGTCTTTTTTTTTTTTTTGTATTGGTAATGTTGATTGACCTCTTCCAACCTTCTGATCACTGTGTCATTCTCCAGATTTGCTGACTAACTTGGTTAGAATCTCTACTGATCTTTTTTTTTTCTGTTGCATGTCATATTTCTTTCAGTTCCTGTAGTGTTCTGACTTGGTAATGACCAGAATGCTACCTTAATTTAGTACTAGAGGTTCTTTTAAAGTAGGGAATATCTTCTAAGACAGCGGTTCTCAATGTTTGTGTGACGGCGACCCCCGTCACACAAACGTTATGCGCATGCGTGGCACCGCCCCATGCACGGCACGCATGTGCGGCGGCGCCCCCATGTGCGGTGCGCATGTGCAGTGGCGCCCCCATGTGCAGTGTGCGTGCGTGGCGGCGCCCCCGGAGGGGGGAAAATGGCGGATCGCCGCCTTTGGCGACCCCCGAAAAATGGTCGATCGACCCCAAATGGGGTCGTGACCCATAGGTTGAGAACCGCTGTTCTAAGATAAGATGTTGATTCCCATTTTTTTTTCACTTTGCTTTCACAGGATTTAGTTTCTTGTCCTGTCATCATCCTCATTACTCTTCTCTTAAACTGTTCCATTTTATCTGAAACTTTTTAACAATGGGTGATGAGAACTGGAGAAAGATCCGGTTTGACCAGTGTAGAATGAAGTGGAAGTATTACTTATGTGATTTGGAAACTATACTTATATTCAAGGTTTTTTGCAATCAGCTACAGTACATTGCTGAATTGATGACTTCACCATCCACAAATATTCCAAGACTTTTTCAGGAATATATACCTAGCCACAGTCATCCCACTCCCATTCTATATCTGTGAAATTCATTTTGTTGCTTTTGTTCCTCTTAAATATCTTTATCTTATATCTTAATCAAGATTGTTTTTATTTTTTTAATCTTCTAAGATATTGTCTATCTTACTCAATTTCGTGTCATCAGCAGATTTGGTAAATAGTCCCTCCATCTCTTCATTCATGCCATTAATAAAAAATAGTGAAGAGCAGAGGACTTAAGATTTAGCTTGCAAAATCTACTCAGCATCTCCATTTAATATGGGACCACTGATGAACAGTCTTTGTATGATTCTTGAGCCAACTATATAGCAATTTCATGGTTATGCCAACCCAGCTTTTTATTTAAAACATAGTGCTTTTTGTTGCTGTTTTCAGCCTCTGCCAACTGCAGCTCATTCTGAGCTTTCCTGACACTGTATATGTTGTTCTATACTATCTATATATGGTAATATGTCCCTCTTTTCATCTTACATATGTTCTTTTAAAAATCAGTATATGCATTTTAATTGTTCAGCCATATTGGTCTTTCCTGTTGTTTTCCACTTTTCCTTTCATTCAGTATGTTTGCAGTTGTATTTTTAGCATCTCTTTCTCTTCCTTCTCCTCCTCCTCCTCCTCCTCTCACCATCTTTTTCGTAATTTATTCATCTTGACCGCCTTTTTAAATTCTTTTTAGCATTACATAACCAGTTTGTTTCAAAATTCCTGCTACTTTTACTTCCTCAACAAAGTCCTTGCTATTGATTATTATTAAATCAAATAATTCCCTTGTTACTTCCTTTTTTCTCCAAAGGAAAAACTTGTCAATAACATAAGTCAAGAATTTCCTGGCATGATGATGCTTGCCACTTTGTTTTCCTGCAAATATTGAAGCAATTCAACTCTCCAAAAATAAATGTCCATTATTAATTATGTTGTGTTTAAAAAAACAAAACAAAATGTGCATGCTGACATCACAACACCTGTGTTTGCATCAGGTGAAAATATGGACTTGCCACAAGAATTGAGGAATGGCTATAAATTCCTGTCCATTAATCTTAATTTCAATCTTGAGGTTCCCCCAGATTTTATTTCTTCCTGATGAAATTCTAAACCAAAGTTTCCAGCATAATTCATCATTACTACTTCTTTCTAGTGCTGCTGTGAATTGCAGATCTGAATGGCCATAGGTATGATCTTCAGTCATTTGAATCATTACCTCCTTTGATATGAAAGTGATCTTCTCCATTTGCTCTTTAATTTTTTTTTTTTTTTGAAGGAAACAAATACAAATTGTAGCTTTTACACATAACAATGGGAAAAAGAACATATATGCCTGATTCATACAACATCCTGCTTTGGTTTTGATTTGCTACATTCAACTGAGTTTTGTAAAACATGATTTATTGCTTAGTTCATAGTTCAAAACCAGCCAATCTCTTGAAGGTACCATGGCTTAGCATGAGGTGTGAATGCAGGCACTGAAAAATTTACACCAAAAAGAACCAGGCATATGTCAAAAACTCAGGCTATCATTTGATAATTGTAAACATCCTATCACAGTCTATGGGTAATTCTCAGTGGGATGCTTCATGTTAGTATCTGATGAAGAACTGAGGAGGAAGATAACTTTTTCCTCTCCTCCTCCTACACTTTGTTTGGGTTATGAGAATACAGAATGTGCTGCAACTATAGCTTAACAAGTCTGGTACCACTTACAAAAGTAAACTCTCTGTCTTAAATCATTGCAGGGAGATTAACAAGTCCTTTGACCTGGCTGTTTTGATTTAGCTGTCACAGGCAAATGCTCTTAGATTTAAATATAGCCTTTTTTGCCTCACAGCCGAGTGCTTTTCATTTGTGTTCCTCTGACATTACCACGAAGGTGGGCTGAGCACAGCAAATCTGACGAAAATGTGGGCTGATCCCTTGGACTGGGAGTGCTTCATTGCTCTCAGTCAATGACTCTGCCAACGGCACTGGCAGGGATTCTGTCTCTCCTCTCTAACACCATCTAGAAGGCAAAGTCCAGTTGAAAACCTCCAGCTGCAGGACTTTTTAAAAATACTCATTTTTAATGAATATTGACTGATTTTCCCAGAAAGATAATGGGTGTACAGGATTACATTTGCATCACTATGACTGGTGGGGCACCTTGGGGTTTCAGACTTCAGGGTGGCAAGGAAGAAAAGCAGCCTCTGCAGATTGCCAAGGTAAGAAAATAAGAGTACCTTCCTTCCTGTTTTAATCAGTGTATGTATTTGTACATGTGCGCAGAGAAAGAGAATAAAAGCTATGTATAGTATAATTTGATAGTTAGAACACTTGGAGTACAGTATTTACAGAGATTATTCAAATGTATTATCATATGCATTTTTAAAGAAAACTGTCATTTTAAAATGTTCCTATCTTGATACTTTTGAAAGTACAAAGAGATTCCCCATATACATACATACATACATACATACATACATACATACATACATACATACATACGTTTGTGTGTGTGTGTGTGTGTGTGTGTGTATCTTCTGAAATGTTGATTAATTTTAACTCCTGTTGAACTTGTTGAATGGCATTGAAAGGACACTTTGCAGTAAGCACTAGGATTTGAATGAGCAGTACCTCATTTGATAAGAGATTTGTGATACTTTTTCTTCTAGTTTTGGCAAAGAAGTAAACTTATGGCTGCAAGGGAAAAATTGCACCTAACCTTTCACTTAATTTGGACAACTCAGTCATGAGGTATTGTCTCATATTATGCAAACTGACAATGTTAAAATACTGTTGATGACAAATGTTTTTACTTGGAATGTATTTTACAGGTGAAAGCAAAATAACAAGGATCTGAGAATTCGAATTGCTCTAAAATCCTCCAATAGCCTAATCAAAACCAATAGTATTTTTTTAAAATATTGACAATATGTAGTTAATGAAATCAAAAGAATGAAACAACAACAGATTTAAATGAAGATCCTAGCTTTCTAAAATATAATCTTTGCAAAGCTTTTTGAGGTGTGACTAAAACTGAGTATATCAAGATAAGTCATTATGCATAATGACTACATAAAACAAATCATAATTTTGAATTTAGGAATCAATATACAAGCAGCCCTATATTTTGCACAACCAAGTAAAATTCAGCATATTAGTTCTGCATATTCAAGCAAAAGATCATGTTTTCTCTATCCTGTGCATATGTAAATATTCTGATACTTTATTCAGTGAAACACATTTTTACTATACAGCTTGCTTTCATTAAGAAACAAATAAGGAATAAGGAAAAGTTTTATTTGTCTTTTCATTGATTCAGGAATATGATATTGTAATTGAAGGACTGCCAAAGATCACTGTAATATTTTGTTGAACCATTTTATATCAGTTTTAGTATTTAAAATAAAATAAAATAAAGTTTATAGCAACTACTTTTTTCAGTCAAGGACTAGTCTTTCATGTTCTTCCTCTATCTTAAAAGACCAACAGCAAATTCTTTTGATACATTGACAGTAAGTGGTTAATGAAATCAATGTACTAATATCAAAAGAATATTATCATTAAGTATTTTATACTCCGAAAAACAATAAAAAAGAGCTTTCTATTTTGAATGTAATTATATAGTAGTTTGAACACAGCTGTGATAATGGAATTCTGCCACCTAGTGACACAGGAAAATGCACTATAGAAATTAACAGAACAAGCCCGGTTGTAGGGTGAATGCAATGTAAAGCTGATAGCATGCAAGTAGAAATATTGAAAGACATTGCTCACTGAGATCCAGTGGGTAAAAAAAGAAAAAGCAGTATCTCTTTCACCATGGATTTGTACAAGGAATCTGAATGATGCATTCTTATCAGAGTGGAAACTACATTCATTGTATGCAAAGATTAGGGATGGTTGGTTAGTAGATATTTATAGAAGATATCACTGCAAATATAAAAACTGTTGTGCTGACTTAAACTAAATCTATATAGTCCAGCAGGAGATAAGGACTTGCTTATCATTTATGCACATTTTTGGCATGTGGTTTTCAGTGATATAGTGCCTCTGCATATGATAGTTCCTTTTAAGTCTCACATCAGCTTTCTTTGCTGGCCCTCTCTGGTTTTCACTGATTGTTCAGTAATATTTCACCTTTCCTTCAAGAGCTCCTATACATCCTTCTTTCAGCTTTATCTGCACAAGAACACATATAGTGTTCAAGCTAAGAAAGAGTGACTAGACACTGAATTTTTGTGACAGAAGGTAGACTTGAAGTTGAGGTTCCTAACAGAACCTCATAACCATTCCATCACACTGGTTTCATGAACTCATGTAATAGTGTAACTGCAATCATGATTATTTCTGACAAATTATCAGTAGAGCTGATGAAAAGGAAAGGATTAATTTAATCAAATATGTAGAACAAAGAATTAGTTAAAGGACTGCATAACACAAGTAGAAAGTTGGAATAAAAAACATGTACAACAACTTCAAGCAACTAGCCAGTCACTGAACAAAATTAGTTATAACTCATATAATTGCATTTTCTTCCCAAAGTATTAGTGATGAATCTTTCAAATGAATAACTGCTTATACAGTGATCTGATAATATTCAAGTTCTTGGTGATGATTCTACTGAACAAGCTGTGCTGAAATGAATCATTCAGGGCTTATCCATGGTGGCTGTTTGAAATGAAAATGGAGACATAAAGTTGGGGATGAAGTGAATCCTAATCCATGAAAATGTAGGCTATTATTATTTTCTGTGAGTCTGTAAGATATATCAAGATTCAGTAATTTTTGGAAAAACGGTTGCAAAAGCAAAGAGCAAAATGCACCATAAGATAGCTGCTTTTGATAAATATAGAGTGCAGTCTAATGCCTGTTCCAGTAATTTTCTCTCTGCTTAATGTGAAACATTACTTATTATAATATATTTACTTTTGCATGGATGAGAAAAAACTATAGTAAGATATTTTCAATTTTTTTATTTGAAGAAAGCAAGCTTTAAAACACACCCTTATAGATCTTTTCATGAAAGTCATGGGACTGCATCTGTTTAGAATCTTTCCCAGCACACTGTTGGCCTGTGTGAGAAGGAAAGTTGCCAAATCTCCAGCATGTTCTCTTATCTAAATTTCCCAAGAGAACTGGTGATTCAGCAGATCTCCTAAGTATCCTGCTTGGATATCTATGCTCTCTGAAAAAATCTGGGGTTTCAGGCATGGCTGGTACTGAAAGCTTCTTGAACTACTTCTATCTGTTTTGCTCTGCAGTTTTAAACTTAGATTTATGTGACAATTTTTTGTTTATTTGGGGAATGTGACCCCCAAAGCTTGTTCCTGTCTTTGATCTGTATAAGACATTCCCTATGAATATATATTTAAAACCTTGCCAGAATCCAATGGGATTCTGACTAATCTGTTTAGATGAGTTCTCAGTTCTGCTATCAGACTCTGTTGAAGAGAAATATAGTTAAGATTACAGTATATTTTGAGATCTAAGTTTCTACTGACTGGATTCACATACTGTGGGAAATTTTGTTTTCTTTTAAAAATAATTAGTTTTATGAGTCCCAACTGACTGAATTTATGCATTGAACTAAGTGATACGCCATCATTTTATGCTTGTCTTCACATAATCAAACAAACTACATAATATTTGTCAAAGTGTGTGAACCCAGTTATTTACTGTAACTGTAACTAGAGAGCTCCCTTATATATAAAATTTGTATGTATAAAGATATTACACATAGGATCTAGGATCCAAATTCTTGACTCTAGATATGAAAAATATGGTACTGCAATGTTGGAATACCAGTTGAAAAACTCTTCTATTCTGCTGTCTTCAGATTAAACATTGCTGAATAGACAAATGTTGCAGTGGACTGCCGAGTTAGCTACTGCAAGATGATCACACAGACTGACTACAAGCAAGAGCATGTCAAAGTATCAACAATGGTGCATTGTAATATCAGCAAGCAAGAACTGATGGACTATAAATTAGACAAAGTAATAGAAAATGATAAATGCTCTAGGGACTTTAGAATTCGGACAAATAAGCATTACACCCCAGACTTGACAATTGCCCATTACACTCAGATTTAACAATTGCCAATAAGAACATAAAGATAGTGGATATTGCAGTACCTAGAGAGAGCAGAATAGAAGAGAAACACAAAACACAAAAATACAATGGAAGCTTTACTTGCAACAGCTTACAGTATGTCTTATACCTTTAACACTATCTACTTATCCTAGGTTAGATAAAAATGCTGAATCAAATCTAAATATCTGGCTGACTGTGCAACCAAAAATACTCTTCATCTGTGCAGCTCATCCATGAGGCCATTGTCTCATATTATGCAAACTAACAGTTTTAAAATATTGTTGATGGTATGTATTCTATAGATAAAAACAAAATAATAAGGATCATATAATAATTCTAATTGCTTTGAAATCTTCCTATAGCATAATCAAAACGAATAGCAAATTCTTTTTAAACATTGACAAAAAATGATTAATGAAACCAGTCCACTAATATCAAAACAATGTCATCAATAAGTATTTTGTATATAAATTTTATTTTGGAACAACAGCAGATTTGAATGAAGATTTCAGCTTTTTAAAATAGCTATTGCAAAGATTATTGAGGTGTAACTAACATTGAATGTATCAAGTCTTAAGTCATAATGCATGATCTTTATATATAAGACTTAAATAATAATCTGTGAATGTAGGAATTGAAATACAAGTACAATACAAATCCAATCTAAACATCAGGCTGACTGTGCAAGCAACAATATATTTCCAAATAGATAAAAGTCTTTTTTTCCCACTTTGCAAACCAGTTTACAAATTGAAAGGCCACTTATTTTTTAATGTCTACTATAGTATGCTAAAGGACTAGAAGAGGGAAAACGGGAATGTATGAGTTAAATGTCTTGTGTCTTAGTTTAACATTTCCTGTCTGAATATTTTTGCCAAGTATTTTCTGTTTGTTACACTCTTGTGAACCAAAATTTATACAATAAGAATAAGGCAGATCTGAGCACATTGTGTGAACTTCTGAACTTGTTTTCTTAATGATATCATGACATATAAGACACAACAGAAATTATCAATAAAACATTTCAAGAAAGATCCTGCAAATATTTAGATATAAAGAAAAAATACTTTGATCCAGACTTAGAATAATCAGTTAAATTTCAATTAACCATGATTCTTCTAAGTCCATTAATTTTAATAAACATACTCTAAGGATACTAAGTTGGATTCAATCCATTGCTTGGACATTTTTATTTTGGCACAGATTTTGATTATTTTCATCACTTTTTGCTTTCAGTTACTAAAAGAACTTTGTTTTCATCATTTTTAGCAATTCAGTATTTAATATTATTAAGATCATAAGAGGCTGTCTTAAAGATAAGAGATTTTTTTAACTAAAATGTGATTTTTAACATGAAAAGTATTTTATTGTAGGCTTGAAAAAAAATCATCCAACAAAAAACTGTGAAGAACTTTCCTTCATGGGTCTCCTGAGATCTACCACTGATCACATGTAATTTGTCTTGATATCTTGGATGATACCGATCATATGGAAAATATTATGTGATCCATCCAAGAAAAGGGTTAGAATCTCTCATTTTCCTCAGCATTATGGGATGATACATAGGTATGATACAGACTTTTAGTTGAGTTTTAAATCTGCCATTCCAGGACAAAGCAACCTCAAATGAGTTTATTTAATAGTTAGATTTATATATCATTATCAGTCATGGTTTGAGTTTGGGCACTGAACCAGAAGTTGGACTAGACTAACTAGTTAACCAGATTAATTTGAACCCCCAGAATTTCCCAGACAGCCAATTCTGGGAATTGAAGTCCACAAGCCTTGAAGATATTAAGGTTGGACAGCCCTTGGACACCCCTGGACCTAGATAAAAGAGAAAGGGAATATAGTATGAGAAACATGAATACACAGAAGTATGATAAGGAAAATGGCTTAAAGAGGTTTTTTATGTACTCATAAGTTTAGAGGAATAAATTCTGAAAAGAATCGGGACCAATAAACGAAACCATTTCTTTATAACTGACTGTGGAATTTGCTGGCATTCAGTGTGGGTGATGGTTATTGTTTACAATGAGGGACAGGAAGCATTTATGAATGATTGGAATATCAGTGGCTACTGACCTTAATAACTGTTGGTACTTTCCAGTATCATGGGTGGAATAATGGAAACAATATAGAAAAAGATTATGCTCCTCTTAGCTGTGTTTATGAACTTTCTGAATGTATCTTTTTAATCTTTGTGTGAAAATAGTGGACTATTTGGGTCATTTTCCTGAACCATCAGATCTCTTTTTCTCTTCTAATGGAGGCAGGGTACAGAAATTTTAGTGCAGAACTACTTCACCAGTCTGTCTTTCTCTAAATGATTGGCTGCAATGGGCTACCCCTAAAATAACAACCATTTTGAATAGATAACTTTCTCTCCATGGTATTGCTCATCCCATGTTCTTAACATTCTATGTACGTTCTACAACTATGCCTTTAACACTATCAGACAACATCTGCTTATCCCAGGTTGATTGATGGATAAAAATGCTGAATCCAATTTAAACATCTGGCTGACTATGCAACCCAAAATACCCTTCATCTGTCCAACTTAGTCATGAGGCCATTGTCTCATATTATGCAAACTAACAGTGTTAAAATACTGTTGATGGAGTACATCTTTTATTTGGTATGTATTTTATAGATTAAAAACAAAATAATAAGGATCATATAATAATTCTAATTGCTTTGAAATCTTCCTATAGCATAACCAAAATGAATAGCAAATTCTTTTTAAACATTGACAATAAATGATTAATGAAACCAGTCCACTAATATCAAAACAATGTCATCAATAAGTATTTTGTAAGTAAATTTTCCTTTGGAACAAAAGCAGATTTGTATGAAGATCTCAGCTTTTTAAAATAGCTATTGCAAAGATTATTGAGGTGTAACTGACATTGAATGCATCAGGTCTTAAGTCATAATGCATGTTCTTTATACATAAGACTTAAATAATAATCTGTAAATATAGGAATTGAAATACAAGTAAATGTGCCCATTTATTCTATAAAACTGTTATAACCTTGAGAATATGTTATTGCAGGAAGAACTATCTCCTTGGTGAAGAGTCAGGACATATAATAAAAAATTATATAATGTAGATCTTATTCATATGGAAATATCTTCTAATTTGTGAAATAAATAGAGAACTAGTTTGGCGTAATGATTAAGACATCAGGACAGAAATGGGAGACTGTGAGTCCTTGTCCTGCCTTAGGCAGAAAGCCTTAGAAGAATAGCAAACTAGTTTTAAAAAACCCTTTTGACACATTTTTAAACTATTTTTTTTGCGAACATTTTATATGTATTATGAGACCAGTATAACTTATTACTGATATAAGACATAAACCTTATTGAATGTATCAACTATATTGTAATTTGTAGTCCTTAACCATTACTATGTGCTTACATAAGTACTGTTAATGTCAATTTGCCAAATATATAAGAGACTCCATTTCCATGTTTCATTACTGTCGTAGTATCCCAGTAAAATCGATATTGGCATTGCCCTTTTTTTCTGCTCTTCATGTTGTTCCAAAGTTCTCTTGGTCTGTTCTGTGTGCATTTTGGAATGAGAGAGATCTCGACCTTCTCTGCGTTTGTGATTCATAGCACATTGCACTGTTTCAAGTCAGGTATACAATGAATCACATGTAGCCTTGTGTAGTTCCAGAATAAATGAGAATTTGCCAGGATGGTAAAAATTTTCCCATGAACAATGGATAATTTAAACTTTCATTTAAACCCCCGTGGAATCTTCATTCTGCCCCAATTTTAGTATATAGTTCTTGAAATTCTAGGTAAATCATGATGATTTCTGGAGCTATCATAAATTGTATAGCTTTAATGTAAACAGAGGGGTCAATGTTAGTGCTTGCAGATCAGCATTTGTGTTGGGAAATGCTGAAGTGAAATGAAACTGTGGTTGTATTTTTCATGAATTGTTTTTTATTGACTTCAAAGACTAGAAGCAAGCGTTAACTGATTCATTTAAAGCACATAGAAAATCATTTAGAACAGTGGTTCTCAACCTTTTTAATGCCGCGATCCCCAACCGGTCAAAAGTCGAGGACTACTCAACCGGTCGTAAGTCGAGGACTACTCAACTGGTGCAGCACCGTTTGCAGAATGGGACTTTTGGCGGGCTCAGCAGGGCAGAGACAGCCTGGACAATTCCTATTGGCTTTTGAAAGCCAATAGAATTAGACTCTATTCAAGAGAGTCTATTCTATTGGCTTTCAAAAGCCAATAGAATAAAAGGGAGTAGCACAGCTAAGGAAAAGGGGAAAAAAATGGTGGACTGCGTTGTTTGGCGACCACCGTGAAATGGTCGTTTGACCCCAAATGGGGTCCCAACCCACAGGTTGAGAACCACTGATTTAGAAAGACAAAACTAATAACTTGATAGTGAAAATAAAATGCTAGCAGCTAAGTAACATTTAATTTAGATTCTCTGTATATATTATGTGAGAATAAATGCATTAATCATCTTATATTTCATGTATAAACTAAGGTAACAAAAATCAGGATTGTGATTTATTTTCCATAATAGAACTATTCTGAAAAGTTAACAACATGCTCAATTCTAGCTTCAACTTGTTCAGACTACAGTATTCACTTGCATATTAGGAGTCCCTTTGGATAGTGAGATGGGCACATATAAATTTAATAAATAAATAAAATAAATTATTGATGGCTAAGCTTTGAATATGAATCCGTATTAAATTAACTCTTTAAATCTGTATCAGACTAATAAGAACATTTTTCAGCCTTGACTATTCAAATAGTGTTTAATTAATTTTTAACAGTAGGCAAACAAAGTGATTAGAATATCTACAGCATAACTTATGTGGTTTTCAGCATCTTGTGAGAACAATTTTGGCTAAAAGATCAAACTTAAATTCAGGCTTAAATTACAGTTCTCTATAATTTTTATAATAATTCTTACTTTCTTGCAACAATGGTTAAAACCACTCTTAGTGAAGGAATTAATAGCATTATTGAATGTGAAGTGATGGAATCTTTACTAGAATGAATACACCTGTTACTAAGTTCTAGATTCTGGGAAGGCTATCATCTTTAGCCTTAAAAAAACATGAACAAACAGAGCACTGAAATATTCATCAAGAACCAAGATACTTCATCCATATATAAATATGGAAATATATGATTATAGAGGTGGCATAATAATTTAATAAGAATATATATTAATTTTAAATAATAAATTAAATAAAAAGTAAAATCTTTTGTTTGCTCTTCATTTGCTGCTTTTATCAGCTTTTGCTTTGCCTATCTGGCTTAGAAAAAGTTCCAATGATCCTACTGAACAAAAACATACTGGTGATACCATTTGAGGAAACTAAAAATGCATTTTAGTAAAGTCTTTAAATTAGAACAAGACACTTGGATTTCAGGATTGTTACTTGGGCAGGCTGGATGAAAGAAAGATGAGAGACCTGACCACAACTGAAATTGTGACAGAATTTGGCTAAGAAAATATAAGCAGCTTTGGATAAATCAAATTAGAAAAACAACATGATGTTTTATGAAGCATCTATATTTGTAGAATAGTAACTGGGCATCTAGCCTATAAACAAGAGAACAAGACAGAAATGCAGTCTATGCTACAAAAAAAGTTAATGATGAGATAAACCCACAATTGTCCATATAACTTTGAAGTGAGACCTAAATAAAAATGGGACAGATAGAATTGAAATACTTGACCATTCTTAAACCTTAACCATTTTTAACTGGCCTCAGATTTCACAATTAAATAGTTTACATATGTGTAAGGTAAGTTATTATAAGCAGACTTTTAGTCATATCCATTTCAGTGTTTTGTTTACTTGCTGTACATACATACATACATACCATGTTGGTGTAAGTAATGTACTGCAAAGCAAAGAAAAGGAATAGACATTAACAAGACAAACAAATTAAGAACATGAGGCAATAAAAAGAATGTGAAATGCAGCCAACTACAATTTACGCCAACACTATTCATATTATCTCTCTATCTCCATAAACCATCCCTATTTCCACTATGTAAAAACATTCCACACACCCTATGTTGCCTTTTTTCTTTCTTTAAAAGTTTGGTGTCTTTCAGAATTCTGGAGTCAGGTAGTACCTATGTTTAATGACATGAAGAAATAAATAAATTAGCACCATCCAGCACCATTGGATTTTTAAATCCAATATTTTAGCTCATTAATAGAGTCCCCACTATTTTACAAATTCTTATTTTAGTATTATACCTTAATCTATTGCTAATACTTATATTTACATGGCTCTATTTCTGCAGTTCTTCTGTAGTTTCTTTTGGATTCTTCTTTTACTCCAAGCTCATTTTTTCCCAAGGAACCATTTTGGCAATACCAAATGATAGTCTGTCCCACACTCCGAATATTTCATCACCATGTCCTGGAATAGAAGTGTTTGCAAGGTCAGAAGCAGAAGAAATAATTTTTTTGAAGAATTATACTTGAAATTTCTGTTACAATAAATTTATTTCATAGTTCCAAAATGATAGGAGATTGGTACCTGGCAATGTCAGCAGTGGCAGTTGTGGTAGCACATTCATTCTCTAAGCCTCTGACCGTTGAGCCCTGAAACCCTCAGCAACTGCATGTTCGTTGATATCAGAAACACATACAAATAGATAAGGACATAATTATGATGCAACTACCATGTTTTCTGTTTTGATCTTTCTCTACCCACTTCTGATACAAAAAAACTTGACAATTCAGTCAAACATATGCCTTTATATAACTGAAGGCAAACGAGGTCCAGGCAGAAGAAAAACATCATGGCTACAAAATCTAAGGGATTGGTTTTGACAAAACTCAGCAGCACTTTTTCATGCGGCTGCTGATAAAAACAGGATTGCCAACATCCGATAATGGATATGACACAAGAAGAAGAAGATATGCCTTCAGAAACATGTACAGAATTACAGTGATTTGGTATGATCTAACCCAGTAACTATAACCATATCACATAGTGCCACTGATATTAACCGTGTGAGAATGAGGATAACTTCCACGCCAATCTTTAAAAATAAACTCTAACATCCACATATAATTTGAATTGTATTTTCTATGCATTAATTGATATTGTATTTTCTCTTCATTGACACAATTATAAAATTAGAGCCATCTGCTCCAGTTAATAACTTTATACACATATTGACACACTCCCACTTCTTCAGGTAAATTTTTAATAGATGAGATTTTTGCCAAGTCTCTTTAAAAATTATTTGAGGCAACAAAAGGAGAAAGACAAGGAAGAAAAGCACTAATCATTACACTTGTTATATTATTTCAAATTAAAGAAAACACACACAAAAATGGCATGTTTCCATTGCAAATATTGAAATGAATGATAAATATAAAAATATGTATTGGACAAAGGAAGCTTGAGGATTCTGAGATTCAGCAGCACTAAGATTTCCAACGGTGTCATTTTGGTTTTCCTAGATATAAATGCACCTTCTTTATTTTCACTGGAGCTGTGCCCAAACCAGATGAATAATGTTGACTATTAACTGGACATGCACCTACCCACTAGGATCATAGCAGAAAAATTAAAAGCAGTTATAGAGTTCCTTTGTGAACAATGAAGATGTAAGAAGATTCTTGGTAGAAGTCCCCCAGTGGACCCTGAAACTTACCAAAGCAGTGATGGAGAAAGCCTGAAGAGAAGCACAAGAAGAATCAGCTACAGGCACCAAAAGCGTATAGTGCTTAAGGGGAAACTCCGGTTCAAATCCACCCTCACTCATCAAAACTGGAGGAACACCAGAAATTAAAAGGAAAAGATAATTTATTAAGGAATACAGTGGGTTTTGTAACTGCTATGCTACAAACTTGGTAAGAACACTGTTTAATATAAGTTGTTACTTATTCCTTACGGATCAGAAGAAAGTCAAAAGAAATTGTTATATTAATATCCCCAGACTCATTGTACATTTTATATCAGAACCCACAAACATTCTGGGAAGACCATAATGCAGGTGACTACAGATTCCATATCAGATTGGTCTAGTGTTTAAGGCACTAGGCTAGAAACCAGGCGACCTTGAGATCTAGTCCTGCCTTAGCCATGAAAGCCAACTTGGTGACCTTAGATCAGACACTCTCTCTCAGAGCAACTCATCTCATAGGGTTGTTGTTGTGGGTAAAATAGAAGGAACAAAGAGTATAAAATATATTTACTGCATTGAGTTGCTTATAATAATAATAATAATAATAATAAAGGTGGAATATAAATAAGATAATAAATCAATAATATTTTAATACTACTTATATATGGTGGTTTTCCTAAAAAATGGGGTATTTATTTATTATTTATTGGAAGTCAGCAACAGCTGAGGTTCAGCTTTCCTTGGATGCTGTGTTTACTTTCCCTGAAAGCTATGTGCATATACTAGCAAAGTTCTTATATTTTCATGGAGTTGTAATAAAACACCATGATCTTGATCCAAATGTTGATGAAGCTGCACCTAATATTTACAACTGATGGTGGAATCTAAACAACAATAGGTTGGATCAAGTGGTGTATTTACAACCTGTAACGCTGTTCTGCCCCTTTCATAAGTGCAAAGAAGGCAAAAAATTACATTAAAAAATGTTGACTGTCTAAAACTATTTGCAGAGATTAACCATGAGAACTGTTATAACTAAGTAAATTTTTGCAAAAAGCTTCTCACAAACTTCTATGCACTAAAGCTTAGCAATTCTTCTTCCAAGTCACTGCTATTTGAATCCAGCCTTTGAGTAATAAGCTCATGATTAGTGCAGATAGCTTGTCATATAGTTTTATAGAACAACATTGCATGCTTATATAAACTAAAGATGGGGTAATATAAAACGTAAGACATCTTTAGATAATAACCTAATTTTGCCAAAGGAAAGGAACATAACATTTCAATACAAAGCAAACATATGTAAGTCATTGCATGTACAAATTGAAAAGTAAATTTGTTAAATAAAGTACTCTATTCTTGTATATGTATATACCTTCAAAATAAAAGTTATATTTGTATAAGTCTTAATTCATAGGCTATGGAGAATGTCTTCAAATAGGACTGGAAAGAAATTATCACAGCAAACAGATCTGATTCCCTTAAAAGGAAGCAGCTCCGTTTTTCTTCTGCCTCTCTGGAGAACTGGCTACAAACTGGGAATTGTTATTGTATGACTCACTGGAGGGACCATAGCTACACAAAGTTCAGATAGAATTTTAATAAAACAGACCCCACATTACTGGAAGGCAGCCTTTTTCTTAAGGAGGAAACTTCCAAAAGGCTTTAAGGTGATACAGTCAATTTAACTTTCTGGGCAAGCAGCAATAGAGTTAAATTTCAAATATTGGTGTTGACTGTGCTGGAAAAATTCTGCTTCTTGTGAAACAAATGTGATGGCCATGTTTTAAAGTTTTGCAAACCACAAAGAATTAATAGTAAAATGTGTTGCATTTACTAGTCAGCCAACAGTTTAAAGATGTTACAGTTACTGTTATTGTCATTTTCTTTGCTTGCAATATTCTTAGAATATTAGGAGGAGAAGGAGGAGTCATCAACATATTTCTTTATCCCAAGGCAATATATAAAATGAACAATTAAATAATATTATATAAAGCACATATGAAAATAATAATATTGATCTAAAACAGACAATAAAAGCCTATTTTCTTTTTTTAAAAGTCAGTCTCAAAGGGAATCTAGTCTTTGAGCAATTGTTACTTTGCAAGTGTCTAAGTGTTCTAAACTTCAAGGACTTCAAAAAGTTTCACAAAATTTAATCAACAATAATAGTAAATTGAATTAGGTGATTTTTTTCATGAGGCAACTGGACCTTCTTGTTTTTCTTGAAGATGTTTCACTTCTCATCCAAAAAGTTTCTTCAGCTCTGTCTGGATGGTGGGGAATGAAAGGATTTATACTCCCTGCAGAAAGCTGATCATTTGTATTCTTTTAGAGAGTCGTTGAAGCCCCTGGAGGCTTATCTGTATCATCAGGGTCACCAAGTAGTACAAATGGGTGTGGAGCCTTCTTGGAACTGTTGAAAGAACTGTGTTGTAGACTGGAGATAGATGATGTATCCTTCCTCCTCTGTTGAGAGAGGGCTGTTCAAAAGTAGCTTCAATCAGAGCTGAAGAAGTTTCTTGGATGAGAAGCGAAACGTCTTCAAGAAAATAAGAAAGTCCAGTTGCCTCATGAAAAAAGCACCTTTGGGGCAACCATGACCTGGATGACTGAGAATCTCCACAGACAGATTTCCAGTAGTATTTGAATATCTTCTCCAGGGATCAATTTTGCAGTAGGAAAAGAAATTGCTATAGTAATAGCTCTCCTTAATAACTAAATATATTTTCTTGATACCACTAGACTAGGGCAACCAGATTTAGACTGTAAAAATTCAGAGCATCTTTAGATGACAGCGCCGAACTGCAGAAAACTCTTTGACCTTTGCAGCTCATATCTGATAATCTTATTTTAAATAAATTTGTTGTTAGCTGAAAGCAACCTATACAATTTAATCAATTGTTCCTACAGCGTCTTTTTTATTGAAAAGCCCCATTTTTTTTAGAAATGTGGGAGTTTGAAAACAAAAGTGGTGATAATTTAATTGGACAAAGGCGAATAACTAAGTGATTGTGTGTTCTGTTCTGTGTGTGTTTGCAGAGGACAATCTTCTTATTGATGGCCTAACTTAACAGAATCCAATTAAACGGAGAGAGTCAAAAGAGAAAGAGTAAAATTGTTCACAGGAATTAGCAACTGGGCAACAGGTTCAAATGGCACCAAAATCATTTGCCAGTTTTCCCTGCTATGCTAAGATATATGCTTATTTAAATTATGTCAATTATTTTAAAATGTGTGAATATATATAAAAGAGATGATAAAATATGCTCCTTTATCCTGATTTCATTTCTTCTTTGGGACTATATAACATACCAAATTATCCATATATTTAAACCCATTTTAGAACTAACATACTATGAATTCAACATCTTTGAATCTGTAATAAGTTAGATATAGAAGAAACTGGAGACTCATATTTGGGGCATTGGAAAAGATGGACATAATCTGTTGTAATTTATTTGCAAGGTCTTGACTGATCATAACTCAGTTAAACCTCCAACTAGCCAATATTTTAACCTAATATTTATAAACTAGCCAGTATGTTTAGCTTATTCACTGATTTAACACTATAGCTAAATTAGTCATGATGTGATACACAAACACAGACACAATGTATGGTGAAAGTTGATTGTATCTGTTGTGATTTGAATTCAGTTTGTGGAATCTGTTTGGGATGTTAGATGGACCACAGGCAACAGACACTGATGTTATAATTGCCAAACCATGGAATGGGCATCTGGAAAAAAATACAGTAATTGCAAATATTCTACTTTATAGAAACAGCTTGCAAAGCAAATGTGAAGAGATATATGGGATATAACTTGCCAAATTTTCACTATGAGTTCTGATCTATATGTGGTGTTTGTACATTAAAAAATGTGCTTTTGAAATGAATAGTCTGGGGTAGAAGTATAAAGCTTGTACTGATGCTTGTAGCTAGAAAACCAAACTGCACAAAACTTGGGGAAGATGCTTAATCTTTCTCCCATCTGCCATTTAATCAAACTAAGCTGTCCTCCCCACTTGAGGTAAGGGCAATCACCTTCACCCTATCACTACCCCCCAGCAGTAATTGAAGTTGTGAGCAAGGTATTTAAACTAAGAAGATATGATCAGTTGAGCTTTCTGTTTGGTGTGTGTTAATGTACTTCAATTTTAAAGCATACAGAGGGAGTTGCGGTATTATCTGAAGAAGCAGTCCCAAGGAGGGTTTCTTGTGTTTCCTATATGTAGAGGTGGAATAATTCTATTAACTGTACTTCCATAAGTGTTAATTTTTTTGAAACAGCAAGCTATTCTGAAGTCATTTTCAAATTTTTAAGTTATTATCCAGAAGCAAGTAGAAAAAAAATCTCATCCATTTGTACTATTCAACTACAATAGAGAACTAGATGCAGTTCTCAGCATAAAGAGGACCATGTTTTTCCTATTTGACATGAAGCAATATTATTATTTGTTTGTTGTAGCTGCTTGTTTCACAGTACAGTGACGTAGGTAGCAAACTATCATAAAACAACCAAAATAAACAAAATAAACATGAACTTAAATGTGAGGTCTAAGAACATATCTCTTCTAATCCATGGATTGAAACCACACAGATCAGATTAAAAAGATCAAAAGGAAATTACTTGTATTTTGTTTCTTTTCTCTTTCTTCCTCTCATTTCTTCTCTCATTTTCTTTTTTAATAGTGCAGTGTGGCTGCAAATTACATAGATATATGATGTTCTACAGTTTATAAAAGACTCTAATCATTTATCCCATTGTTACTTCTTAGTAGATAAAATTCTTAGCAATATTTTCTCTCAACATTATTTGTCCTCACTTTCTGTCCATTGCATATACAGATATTCCTTGACCTATGACTACAATTGAGTCCAGAATTTCCATTGCTAAACAAGGTGATTGTCACATGAGTTACACTTGATGTTATAACCTTTTGTCATAGTTGTTAAGCAAATCACTACAGATAAGTGAATCACATGGTTGTTAGGTGAATCTGCCTTTCCCCACTGACTTTGCCTGTCTAAAGCTGGCTGGGAAGGTCACAAATTATGATCACATGAACCTAGGATGCTGCAACCATTGTAAATATATACCAGTTGTCAAGTGCTAGGATTTTGATCATGTGACCATAAGGGTACTACAATGTGAGGACTTTTTGTAGAGTAAGTCACTTTTTTCTGTGCCATTGTAACTTAGTATGGTCACTTAATGAACACTTGTAAGTCAAAGACTACCTGTATCAACAGAAACCTGTGGAAAAGGCCATGGGTATTTATCAATGTAATTATACCAGTCATGCAAAAACAGGTCCTGAAAATGGTTTTTTGTCCTAGAATATTCGAAAATCTGAACCAATAATTCTTAATTATTTGAAATAACTGGAAGTATTTGATAATTTGATAAAATAAATTGTTCTCCAGTTCATCCCTGCTTTATGTGATAGTCAGTTCATGTTGTCTACTAAAAAGGATTCCCCCCCCCCTAAAGTTTACCAGGAATCAGGTATGATGAATGGACAGGTATCTGGGATAGCAAGTTCTGTGAGGAAATCTCTGCCTACAGATATGTTACTAGAGGATAATTTTTTAATAATTTCAGTCAGGGATACTGATCCTGGTAAAGGCCAGTTCATTATTGTAAGGGCTACAGTACCAAAGGATTTTGTTACAGTAATTCAAAAGTCTATACCAATTGATATATTTTTAACACTGAATTTTAAAGTGTTTTAAAATTTTAAAGTTTTAAAGAAGTGTTTTATGGTTTTAATATGTAAGCCACTTTGAGTCTGACAAGTAGATGGCATACAAATTATTTTTAAAAAGGAAATGATGAATGAAATGAAGACTATCACAGCAGTTCACTAAACCTAAATTTATTAAAACAATACTGTGAAAAAGAGCTATTTTATCACTATTTCATTCTGGCTCCTTATGTGGCAGCATTTCTTAATATCCAGAACATTATTTAGTTTTGTTGTTGAAAAACATTGAACTCTTGAACCTAATCCTCCAAAACCAGGCAGACTTTATCCCCTCAGAAGAGTTAACATTCAAAGAAAGTTATTTCAAATTCTGCCTCCAAATCAAAATTATATTAGCAGTTCTAAAAAAAGTTTTACCTTCAGATTGGCATATCTTCTTCTCAGAAGAGGGAATATTTCCTGTAGATATAGCTCTATTTCAGATTTCATTTATGGCTCCTGTTACACTAAATGGGAAAGCATGGAGGTTGGTGATTTGCATCAAGTTTAAGATTTTTGCTAAGACTCACCCTGCTAGTGTGATTGTCACTGGATGAAACTGGAATGAGCCCTTGGGGATACATGGGTGGGAGGAATTTAGTGCCAGGAAGGAAAGTAACTAGTTGTGCCAATCTCCCATATAGATGCACAGATTCTGGGTGATGGGCAAGGAGGATGGAGAGCTTCTTCTCTTTGGCACAGTATAGCTTTCTGGGGCCACTACAAGCCCTTTCATCTTCCTGCCTCTTGGCGGAGACAGGCCTTTCTCCTTTGCACAATAAAGTTTGCTCCCCTCCCAGTCTGATTTGCTGGTGTTTGCTGAAAGACCTGAACACCTTTACAACTTCCTGTTTCTGCCTACCTTCCAGCTGTTTTCTTATGCCCTATGTAATACTACAGAGCCCAAGCAACTCAGAGTACTGCCAATTCCACTTTGTTTATCCATATGGCTGTGGCGAGGGAGGCCTCTGAGCATAGGGAAATCTCTAATAGTGAAAAGTTGCAGTGGGAGCCGGCATTCCATTTGCTTGCTGCCTGGCACTTTTAAAATCTCAATAATGTCTTCTGTGATTTATCTGGAAAGGAAAGATAAATGTAAATGACAA